CGAGTGCTGGGATGACAGGCGTGCGCCACCACGCCCAGCTAGCTGCCGTCTTTAAACCGCTGGCTCACCGTCCCGGTTTGAGGCAGGACCTGGGCATTTTATGCTTGCGCGTCTCATCTTGTGGAAACCGGCGTGCGGGTGGGACAGAGCAGCAGCACAGAGTCAGTGCGTTTGGGCCCGAGCCCCGCACAGCTCTCAGAACAACAAGGACGAACACTGAAATACCGACCGAGTTCCCCTCACCCGGAGACCCCAAACCAGGATGCCCCCGGGTCCGGGCTTTCTAGGCTCTGCCCGCGGAAATTACCCCAGGCTGTGCGAGAGGCCCGAGGCGCCCTTCGGCCTCGCGTCTGTGGCGCCCAAGCTCTGTGTGCGCACAAAGGCGCCCCGCCGGGAGGGACGTCTGGGTCTCTGGTGCGATCAGTCGCGCTGTGTTCCGGTCCCGGTGGGCTCGGCGGCGTCCCTGCCTCGGTGGTGGCCGTGGTCCCTTCTCCGTGGCCACCTGAATCCCCCTCGCCCATGTCCTCCGCAGGTTCGGCGCCAGCGCCAAGGTGATCCACTTCCTGGGGCCCAGGAAGCCCTGGAGCTACACGTACCACCCGCAGACCGGTTCGGTGGTGGAGCAGGGCTCGGGCGTGGACAGGGGGCGGCCCGAGCCCTTCCTGAGCCTCTGGTGGGCCGTCTACCACGCCCAGGTGCTGCCTCTGTACGCGCGCGGCCCGGACGCCCAGACACGCGCCGGCCACAGCGTAAGGGGCCCCCCCGCCTCGCTCTGTCCCCGAGTCCGGGTTTGCAGGACATCGCGATCCCGTTCCTTGTGTGGGGTCAGTGCACGCGCAGAACCCTGCTTTGCGTCTTTTCTGTGCCCTCTTTTCTTTCCTTCTCCTCCCTCCGTCTCTTGGTCCCCTCACCCCTGGCAAGGATCCGCCTCCCTCTTTCCTGTTACCGATCCTTTATTTTGCGCTTTATGTATACTTTGGATTTCTCATAGAAGAGAAAGCCTGCGATACCGTTTTCCTACAACTGACTCGAGCTCCACCTTCTTCACGGCAGAGTAGTACTCCACAGTGTTGAAACAGCCCGTTTCCCTTAATCACTCATCTGCTGATGGACATAGAGGCTTTGGCCAAGATGCAGCCATTGTGAGATGTGCTGCTGTAAACATGGGTGTGTGTGGACCGCTGCTCCTCCCCCAGCAACTTTAAATGTTAAATTTTTTTATTTTGCAAAAAGAGGTCTCACAAAGTCACTTGTGGTCCTCCTGCCTCAGCCTCCCAGATTGCTAGGATGACAGGTGTGCACCACCATGCCGAGCTCTGGCACACACCGAACACCTATGCACTTACACGCACGTAACCACCAGACGAGTATCAAGTATGTCCGCACACGTGTATGCACACGTGAACAGCTTGTGTGTACAAAGGTGCATACGTGCTGCCTAAGTACACGTCTCTGCACGCATATCCACAGCTACCACGCATCTCTGACACCTACAAAACATAGATTTTTCCTCTTGCCTTCTGAGACCGGGTCTTGCTGGGTCTCTAAGTGGCCCACAGTGAGCTTGAACTGGGGATCCTCCTGCCTCAGCCTCCTAGAGCGCTGAGATCATGTGTGTACCCTACCCCGCCTGACTTGAAGGGTCTGGGGCTGAGAGGGCAGTGAGCTACTTCAGGTGTACGGAGGACTCACTAAGCGAGCAGGTGTGCGTGCAGGTTTCCCGCCCTGGTGCCGATGTTTCCTGTGGACACTGGGCGTCGGGAACTGAAGAACGCTGGGAAAGTTCGGCCCGCAGCACCGAGGTTCCGCCACCTGCGCCTTCGGCCCTGGAGCCCGACGCCGCGGTGGGCGAGGCCCATCCCTTCTCCGAAGGCGGCCGTTCAGAAGATGTAAGTAGCAGCCCTTCCTCACGGCCGGGGTGGAGATTTGGGCTCTGGACCCCTCGGGGGTCAGGGAGTCCCACGGATCTTCGGCCCTGGAGCCCGACGCCCCGGTGGGCGAGGCCCATCCCTTCTCCGAAGGCGGCCGTGCAGAAGATGTAAGTAGCAGCCTTCCTCACGGCCGGGGTGGAGATTTGGGCTCTGGACCCCTCGGGGGTCAGGGAGTCCCACGGACGTCTGGGATGTGGTAGACTGAGTGATGGTCACCAGCCAGCGACGTCCGTCTCTGAGCCCAGCACTCTGGCGGTGTAAAGGGACTTTGTATGTTCTTCTCTTTTGGTACTGGGGATCCAACTGAGGACCTTGCGCTTGGGAGGCAGGCAGTGGCGCCGTTGAGCTAAGTCCCCCGCCCACTAAAGCATCTTTCTAGATGTGGGGAAGGTTGGAGACGGATGGGGATGCTGGGTGGTCTCAAGCAACCGGTCACAGTGGGAGGGTCCTTGTAGCTCTGAAAAAGCAGGGTCAGAGGTGGTTTTCAGAAGCAACCGCAGAGTCCTCCTTGGGGGGAGCCGCTCCAGCCTCACGCTTGGGGCTCAGAGAAGACACGGGCACAGCACCCACTGCAGAGAACGCAGGTGTCAGGCAGCGTGGCATCTCTGTGACGGAATACCTGAGAAATAGAATATGGAGGAGGAAACGGTGGTGTGGACTCACGGTCTCAGGGGCTCAGTCCATGGTCGGCTGCCCCAGTGGTCTCGGGGGGCTCGGTCCGTGGTCAGCTGCCCCAGGGGTCTCGGGGGGTCCAGTCCATGGTCGGCTGCCCCAGGGGTCTCGGGGGCTCAGTCCGCGGTCGGCTGCCCCAGGGGTCTCGGGGGGCTCAGTCCGTGGTCGGCCGCCCCAGGGGTCTCGGGGGGCTTGGTCCATGGTCGGCTTTTCCAAGGCGGGAAAATCTTGGCGGTTGGGAATGGGGGAGGAGAGGTGCTCACCTCATGGCTGCCAGGGAGGAGAGCGGGAAGCTCCAGGAGCAACATGTAGCACCCAGTGTTGTGCCTGGATGGCAGGAAATCATGACCTTCACGGGTGTGGGGGTCCCCAGTGGCAGTGGGGAACCCTGACCCCATGAGCTTCTGCACCCGGAATCAACCCTGTGACCCCAGCCACGGCAGCTCTCCCTGTGCATGCCGGTGCTTCTCTGCCCACCGCGGGCTCCTTGCCTGGCCTTGAAGGAAGCGGGGGCTACACAGGACCAGGTTCTGAGGTGCGGCTGCCATGTGCTGGCCACCTCCTGAGCTGCGAACTTGGCCCGAATGGCAGTGGCAAAATGTCGCTATCTGTGTGGACCTCTGCACCAAAGCTAAGTCTGCACCACAAAGCTCTTCGTTTTAAAGAGCCGGGCGTGGTGGCGCACGCCTGTCATCCCAGCATTCGGGAGGCTGAGGCAGGAGGATCTCTGTGAGTTCGAGACCAGCCTGGGCTACCCAGTGAGTTCCGGGTCAGTCTCAACTACATGGTGAGACCCTGTCTCGACAAACAAACAAACAAAAAAAGCAACTTTTATATGTATCCCCATGGGGTTTTTATTTTTATTTCTCTTTTAGCCCTGATAGAATATTCTGGAGCTTCAGCTGATGTTGCTTTGGCTGTAGAAGTTAATCCTAAAACTGTGAATGTTGCCAGCATTCCGAGCTCTACACTTCATAGACATGATATTGCTGTGGAAGTAATTTCGACCAAGCAGTCTAATTTATTTCTGCACCAGCCCTTGCTTTTAGTAGTCATAGAAGGTGCTTGATATGGGCGTGTATATAAAAAAAAAAACACCTCGGGGAATTTTTCTTGCTGTCCTGGAGATGGGACCCAGGGCCTCGTTCATGGTAGGAAAGTCCTGCACCCCCTTAAATCTTGAAACACACACGTTGTGTGCGATCCAGCTGCTGTACCCCCCAGAGTGTCTACTCCAGAAAAGAAACGCAATCGTACACCCAGGCAAAGATACAGGATAGATTTATTACACGGCGGCCACAGAATGGAAACAAACAAAGATTTCCCCCAGCGGGTGAAGCTAAGAACAAACTCTGATATGTTGTTGCGATGGAATAGTACTCAGCAGTGAAAAAGAGCGGGCTTGGGCACCCAGAACAGACTGGGTCGATTGGGTGGATTCTCAGTTCTGCCTTGAGGTTCTTCAGCACGCTCTGTATTTCAGAGTATTTTGACAGCAAGTCTTTGCCAGATAAATCATTGGCAGGAGGTCGTGGGGGTCCGGCTTTGCCGTTGGCTTTTATTTTCTCTTGGTCTTCCCTCCTGTCGTGTTGGCTTCCGTCCCTCCCTCCTCTTCCTCTTCTCCCTCTCCTTCCATGCTTCTGGCCTGACAGGGAATTGTCAGCTTAAGGTTCTGTGAAGCTTCAATCTTTTCAAGATGGCCTGAGTTTCAGGCGGCTTTGAGCGGCCGGATCGGTGAGGTCATGATCGGCACAGGGTGATAAATGAATGCGGTTTGTAACAACGAACCCACGCGGCTGTGAGATCCGCACTGCGGTTCACTGTCTGCCTGACACACAGAGAAGGAACCGTTCGGAACGAGGAGAGACTCGCTTATTCGTCTTTCTCTATTGCGGATGCTGATATTAATTATCTTAATAAGTCTGTTGGTCTTGATCCGAAGAGTTAGGGTTAGCGGAATCCGGTGGTCCCTGCCTGCAGTCCCGGCACTCTGGAAGGCTGAGGCAGGACGACTGCACTTTTTGAGCTCAGCTGGGCAATTCAGCTTTCTGGAAACCCTGTTGAACAAGTAAAAGAAAATTCAGCGAGAGCCGGGGCTCTGGCTCAGTGTTGAGGCTTCGGATTCAATCCGCAGTCGTCCAGAAAAGGACGGAGGGAGGCAGGGAGGGAGATCGTTTTCCGTCCCTTGCCGAGCGTCGCAGAAATTCTGCCTCCTTGGCCAAGACAGATGATGTGAAAGAGACAACTTGGTGTTGCTCTGCCTCGGACTCATCCGTGTTTTTCAAACTCTTGTGATGTGTCGGGCTTTCTAGGTTCACGGACAGCCGGCAGCAAATAGCCGTGCTCTGTTTTCCCCAAGGAGTGGAGACCCAGGGCGGGCGGGGGCTTCTCAGGATCTCGTCGCAGGAAGACAGGGCTCTGCGTGGCGTCCTGGTCCCCAAGACATGAAGTCGGCCTCGACGGCAGAGGGGTCGGGGCCCGATCCACACTGCGGCGGGAGCCGAGCTCGCTCTGGGGGGCAGATGAG